TTTTGATCAGTGTCCAAGTAACCACACAGAAATACTATACCAAGGGGGAAAAAAACCCTAGTTCCTGGGCTCACATGCTAACATAAAGCTTGCTACCTTCTAATCAAAACAAATACCATCCTGTACTGCTCGGCGAGCAGCAAGGGAGTGAGCCATCCGTTAAATGTTTGGCGCTGCTAAAGGAAGTGGCAGAACCGTTAGCTGAAGCAGCAGGCTCGCTGGCACGGCGTGCGCTTCGTGGGGCTTTATAGCTGCTTCTAAAATAGTCTCCACCGCTGCAAGAGAGGCTGTGGGCTGGATCTGCTGAGTAAAATGTTATCCTGCTAGTACAGGGAGCTATTAACGTGTCTTCTCCGTGCCAACCATCTCTCCACTGACTGACCCTTGCGAGCAACTCGATGAAAGGAAAGTTAAAAAGAAATAGCCTTCCAGCCCGGCTGGCTGTTTTGGACGCCTGGTTTGGCTGGGGGATGAGCCAAACCCCGTAGCTTCGCTGGATGCCACACTGAGGTTGTGATTTAGCACAAAAGGACAGGCTTAAACTCCAGAGAAGCAAGATTTGTTTGGGAGTTTGAGTTTTGCTTTTAATTACTGTCTTAGACCGGGATGAGTAAGAAGGGCTGCGCAATGTGGGAAGCGGTTGGCACTCTTCACGTATGACAGCAAAAGGGGTGTGCTTCAAATTTGTAATGTGCACACGCAGCCAGGAAAATCAAGAACAGCTCCTGCTACTTGAACATACGGGTCTGGGAAACAGGATAAGTAGTAATTCAACATTTTAAATTTGAGAAGCTATTACTCCAGGGCTAAAAGAAGTCCAGCCTCAGCTCCTCACTGGAAGGTGTGTGTGATTGCCCAGAGAAGCTGTGGATGCCCCATCCCTGGAAGTGTCCAAGGCCAGGCTGGATGAGGCTTGGAGCAACCTGGTCTGGTGGAAGGTGTCCCTGCCCATTGCAGGGGGTGGGATGGGGTGGGCTTTAAGGTCCCTTCCAACCCAAACCAGTGTGTGATTCTGTGTCTGTGCCAAGGCTGCCTTTGGCAGTCTCTGTTCCAGATTCATACAGTACCTTCTACAGCGATGTCCTGGCTCGCACCTGGGCTCCGTAATGGTTTAAATAGTTATTGATACTAAAGCAATTTCATCATGGAGTGCGTAGACTGGACCTGTGTGTTTTGATTTTACTTGTAGTTACGGGACAGTTTGTGTAGGCTTCCTTGGTTTTTGTGTGTGAGCCTGCTTCACTCTTGCATGGAATGATGCGTATGGTACACTGGGCTGTCAGATGGCCATGTCTCTCACTTTCTCCTTTGATAAATGAGGTCTGACAACGAGTAGATTTCTCAGGCAGGGCCATGGCCTCTCTGAATTCCATGTCATACACTTTGGGACATTTCCAAAGCATTTACACTCTCAGCTTCCACGTTCCTCGTAATCCTGCTTTTTACGCTCTTAGAAAAGAGTATTATATTGAAACTTTATAAATAAAGGAATGGGTGTAGAAACAAATTTTTATTTTTAAAAATTAAGGAATGATCCGATATCAAATCAGCTTCCCCTGCAGATGATGAGAAAGGTGCTGGACCAAGGGTTAAGAGGGTGCAGTGAGGCACATGCACACGAAAGCTGTGTTTATGCCAGGAATAGATACTTCCAGCGCTGCTGAGATAGCTCAGGTAGCTATTCCTGTCTTTCAGCTGCAGGATCCAGCATTTAAATGACAGTGCTGCTGGGAGGTTTGAGGTTTGTAGCCACTTTGGGTTGTAATAACCCATGGGTTGGAGCATGCAAGCTAAAGAGGATCAGCTGCCAGAGGACTAGCAGAGTTGGCTGTCAGGAGTCTGCCCCTCCTACTTTTTGTAATGGTCTTAATTAAAATCCTTTCTGGGTTGTGTCACCGATGACTGACTGTTACGTGCTTCTCTGATGTGGACTGTGCAAGCCTCATTTAAGCTCGGTGACCAAACCCTGCACGTGAAGAGGCAGTGCATGTCCCAGGGTTTGCAGGCTGGCTGGGTGGAGCAGATGGAGACAGAAAGGAGCTATCCCTATCTCCATGGCACAGACGAGGAGCTGCGGTGTGGAGATACTGAACGCCCTGGCTAAGGTCAGAGAGGGAGTTTGGGAGAGACGGGAGCTAGATCCGTGGTTTTTGAGTTACAGTTTTGGGATTAATAACAATTAATTAAAAAAAAAAATCCTTAGCAAAATGGAGTTTGAGCGGTAGGAAGAAATCAGGAAATCCAAATGGAAAGAGAATCTTTGTATTTAAGGTATTTAAAGGGAAGATTTAAGTTACTCTGCATAGTTTCAGCCTTGTGACTGGAATGCTCTGTAGCAGTAGGAGTTGCTGTCTGTGGGAGTTTCATCTCCTGTCAATCCTTTGATTGGATTCACTTTGGGAATCAAGAAGACGGCGAACAAAACGCTTCAGTGGCTCCGGGGGCCTGCAATCAGCGTTGCAAACACTCGAGTGATGGCCTTGGGGTCTGCAGTCCGTGCAGGGAGCTGCCCAGAAGGAGGCAGTGAAACTTCCCAATTATCTTTCATTTCTTCTTTTTAATTCGTGGTCTGTTTCCCCACCTTGGCCCGAAGGCTGCATTTTGCAATATTTTTGCTGCTGCTTGAACTGATGGAACATCAGGAGAAAATGTTTCCCCCAGTTTCTTCCGGATCGGAAATCCCAAGGAACATCCTAGCTGTGAAGTTCCTTGCTCAGAGGTGCCTGGTGGTCGCGCTGCCTGCCAGCAGCAGCACGACCGGTGTGGTCAGGTGCGAGCTGGGCAACGGAAACCAGTCCTTCTTGACCTACTAACCTGGGTCCTTGAGCTGTCAAAGACTAGGGACCAGGGGCCTGATGGCGGATTGGTACTTGGGCCATATACGTGGCATGAAGTCCTGCTGTCGTCTCCGATTTTTCCACATCCTTGGAATGCAGTGGGTCTCATGGATGGACGGTGGCAGTCATAACTTTTCTCGGCTATCCCCTGCATGCGTAAGCACACGCACTCAGGCAGATTCGTTTTAGGTTAAAATTGTTAAAAATTGTTAAAATTGTTAAAAACAATTTCATTTTCCATAGAAGCACTATAAAAAATTAACTATACAATTAACTCTTAAAAAAAACCAACCCGAACCTACACCCTATCTGCTTTCTGGAGCCAGGAACACCTGTGAGCCAAGCCAGACGGGTCCATGCACCCAGTGGCACCTGGGGCAGTGGGGTGTCCCTGATGGCTGTGGCTCCCGGAGCACCGGCTGCTTTGTGGCCTGGTTCCCTGTGCCACAGCATCGCTGGGCTGTTGGTGTTGTAGTTACTGAGCTGCTGGGGCATGGCCTTTGGAATGCAAATGCCTCCCCTACCTGGGCAAGCCTGGGAAAACCTGGATTTAAACAGCCCGCTGTGCTGCAGATCTGTTTATGTTTGTACGCGTCTATTTCTGTAAAATTCACCCAAACTAGGTACCTGTTTACTTCTTGCCATTACCTAATCAGCTTCTCAGAGGGTGAGTTGATGTACTGTGTTAAGGCCAGATATTCAGTAGAGATGGTTAGGGATGTATCCAAAAGTTTGCGGGTGTCTTAATGCTCTCTCCTTCCTCCTGTATTGCAGCTTCTGTCTGTGCAAGAAGCACATGTCAGTGAGAGTATTTGTGTGGCTTTACGAATGTATTTAAAATAATTTGCCTCTGGAAAGTGACTGTGGTCCGTTTGCCATGAGAAGAGTAGCTGCAGTCCTGATGTGAATTGAAATATCAAATGTTTATGGAAGATGACATAGCAAAGCTGTTTACCATATGGTATACAAGACACACTGATACTAGGCCATTTTTTCCCTTGTAGTTTGCTGGGAAAAAAAATAAATACAATAGTACTTTGTGTATTCTTCTGTACTTCAGATGTGCCTTTAATGGAGAGCATGACAATGCTGCCTTAGGTCATAGGATATAGGTATAATATCAATTATTATGAATATTGAGCCTGTATCTTGAGATGTTGGTATGAAACTGGAGGCCCAGTCAGTTAGGATTCAGAGTGCAGATCCCTTCAAGTTAGGATGTTTTCGGTGGCACATTCATTCACAACTGTTCACAGCACCTCCCTCTGCCCCTTCTTTTATTTCTCTGGATCGAAGTCCTCTGACAGCTGTTGTGTGCTCTTGGTAACGGGATTTTAGACTGACCGTTGCACCAGCGTAGAGACTTGTAAGCTGACTTACTGCCAGCCAGCGCGGCTCTGGAGACAATGCAGTGAAGTTTACACGGAGCTGCCAGCTATGGATTTGCCAGCTTGGATCAGCACATTCCTGGGAATCTCTGCATTACATCCTAACTGTATTCCCTAACAGTATTCTTGTTCAGCCTGAAGAAGAGAGGGCTCTGGGGAGATCTTACAGTACCTGAAGGGGGTCTGCAGGAAAGCTTGGGGGGGGGGCTTTTTGCAAGGGCCTGTAGGGACAGGACAAGGGGTAGCGGGTTTAAACGGAAAGAGGGAGATTGAGATTGGACATCAGGAAGAAATTCTTCCTGCAGAGGGTGGGAGGCACTGGGACAGGTTCCCAGAGAAGCTGTGGATGCCCCATCCCTGGGAGTGTCCAAGGCCAGGCTGGATGAGGCTTGGAGCAACCTGGTCTGGTGGAAGGTGTCCCTGCCCATGGCAGGGGGTGGGACTGGGGGGGCTTTAAGGGCCTTTCCAACCCAAACCAGTCTGTGATTCTTATGCTACACCTGGGTTGTCTTTGCACGAAGATGCTTTCTGAGTCAGATACAGCAAGAACTAGTCCTGTGAAGCTTACTGGATCTCTGCAGGCTTTGAATTTGGGAAATGCTGTTCCACCGTCTCTTGTGTCTTGATCTGTGCCCATCACCAAGATGGAGTGTCACAGGGAATGAAGCAGATGGGATAAAGATCCTGAGTTAAGATAACTCCTGTTGATTGAACATGCCTACTTCAAGTAAGTATCTGTATTTACATACTGTCCTCTTCCTCTCATTTGATCTAGGTTGTATGGTTGGACCCTGGAAATGGGATGTCAGTCCCGTTCAGGGAGCATAAAGGAAGAAAGAAAATCTTCTAGTTGCTGCCGCTGTCACAGCGAGTGAGAGCCAGAGCAGGAAAATGTCGACAGTCACATCAGCAATCCAGGCTCCTCAGGGCCCTGTGAATCCACCGCCTCCGGAGGTCACTAATCCTAATAAGCCTGGCCGGAAGACCAACCAATTGCAATATATGCAAAATGTTGTGGTGAAGACGTTATGGAAGCATCAGTTTGCTTGGCCTTTCTACCAACCTGTTGATGCAATTAAACTGAATTTGCCGGTACGCATCTATCTTCTTCTGCTCGATATTCTGTTCTTGGCGAGCTTTGTGTTGGCGAGATCAGTTTTCCGATTGCTGGGTCAGAATGGTTATGTTGCTTTTGGGGGTTTCTTTGAATGCCCTTAGACTGGCTGGATAGAAGATGATGTCTTCCAGAGCTGGAGAGGTGCATGTCTCTGAAGGAAAAGAATACTTCTAACTTAGCTGGGGAAGAGAAGAGCACACAGGCAAGATGTCTTGAAGCACCTGAAGCATAGTGCTTTGTTTGTGACTTACATCTGGTTACTTTTACATGTCTTCGCCCCTTATCCCACCTCTGTCCAATCTGAGAGAGAGTCTCGAAGCCCCTGCTCTTCGGAGCATTTGGCATTGTGTGCAATGTAATTTGTGTTTCTGGTAGGCTTTCTTGGATTTGCCACTGACTGTAGTGTTGAGGAAGACAGGAAAAGCTAATTACCAAGGACACTTTGAAGCTAGATAATTTCAAATGCTGTACTGGAAGCAGAAATAACAGAACAGTTGCATTTACCCTTCTGCCTCCTGTGCCTGATGTGTGCCCTGTCTCTGTCAGAGAAGACATGACAAGATAGAGCCTGGTTATTCATAAATGACCAGTTTACTAAGTGGCTTTCTTCCAGGGAACAGAGCCTTGTGCTCTTCACCTCTTCAAAGAGGTCCTTTAGGTGTAAAAACTCAGCAGTGGTGGCATACCCCTACCCACCCGCTTCACTTAAATAGAGACACCACCACTGCCCGGCCACCCTGCTGTCCGCTCAGCCAGGCAGCCCATGGCAAAGTTGCTCTGGGTGCTTTGAGAAGAGCTGCATGTAGGATCCAAGGGAGCACGATTCTGGGATGTAAGGTCAGGAGACCTCCAGTTACCACAGGTTATAACCCAGTTTTACGGACTGGGTCAGGTGTCTTTTGAGCTCTGATGTTGTTGGTGGGTGCTGTTTAAAGTGCTAGCCAGAAGAGCACACCACTTAACGCCTGTATAATCTTTTTCTAGGGTCTCTGCTCCTTTGTGTCTCCTTTTTGCGGATTTAGTTTCTCAGTGAGGTGGTTTAGTGTAGGTTATCAGAAAATTGAAAGGAGTCAGTTGGAAGAATAGTTGCTTTTCACGTGTGGCCTCAATCTGCACAAGCCCAGTAGCTGTCAGGATTGCCTTGACTGGAAATATTGGTGTCTCGGGTCGTGCTCGGAGAGTGGCCAGTGGCAGTAGGTGGCTTCGTGCTCACGTGCAGCGAGAGAGCTTGCTGCCTTTCTCCACAGTGGGAAAACTGTGTATAGCCTTGCATGCCTAGAGTGCCTCCTGGCTAATCACAGCCTCTGCGGATGCTCGAGACCAGCCTAGGGAGAAACTGGCTTAACATCCAGAAAGACTGAAATGGCCTTAAAACAGAGACTGAAACTTTCAGCGCAGTCTTAGCCAATACTGGCACTGAAACTCCTGTAAGTGCCAGAGGCAGCCTTTTAAAAGGGGAGGCAGAAGTGCTGTTTCCCAAATTGCAGCCGTTCCACCCTTAGCCTGACCACCCTGGTGCTGGTCCCGCACGAGCGTGAAGCACATCGCTGCAGCGTCAGCCCAGCTGGCGAGCGTGGCACCCTCCCACTCTGCAGCACAATCTGAAACAGTACTTGCAGCCCCGTAGAGGGTTATCGGGGTTGTGAACAGCTTCCAGGGACAGCCCTCAAAGCATCTTTTCCCACACATACTGCACTTGCTGCCTTCGCGGGCCGGCTGTCCGAGTAGCCGTTTGTGCGTGTGCTTGAGCACTGAGGAGAGTTGTGGAGGGAGTTCTTGTGCTTTGTAGTCAAGTTCATAATAATGATAGGCTAAAAGGCGACAGAAAAAATGAAAGCAGAGAGATTTGCAATTTCCACAAAAAATTTGGGGATGCGTTTCTTGGGAGGGGGAGCAAGGAGAAAGCTGGGACTAGAGGGAGATGTGAACGACACCTTCTGCGTATCAGGAGATGTAACACCTTTCCTGTTTCTCCAACAGGATTATCACAAAATAATAAAAAACCCCATGGACATGGGGACGATCAAGAAGCGCCTGGAACATAACTATTACTGGAGTGCCAGTGAATGTATGCAGGATTTCAACACCATGTTTACAAACTGTTACATTTATAACAAGGTAAAGAGCCCAGACAAGTGTGTTGCTGGGGCGCTGCCTGGAAAAGACCCACCTACAACTGTTGGAGTGCGGGTTTTGAACAGGGCCAGCTCCGCCGCCCTCTGGGCCCTCCTTGCCAGGGTTTGAAACGCCACTAATTGCAACCACATTACTCGAAAGGCACAAAGCTGTCTTTGTGCTGTGTCTTTCTTCCCCCAGACTAGTTAAAATGGCAAATATGCCTTTTAACTGTAGGTAGACTTCTGCTCTGGGGCTGTGTAGCGAGTTTTTACTGCTTTTATTTCCAGTTAAGAATTCTGTAGGATAAGATAAAGTTTGTGCAGTGCTTTGCAGGTCTTACAGTGCTGTGTTACACTGGCTGTCTAGTAGCAAACACTTGGTTCAGGAAGTATAACTCAGTTCTCCGCCTATGTCTCGTCTATACTTGCACATCTTTGGATTGCTTATTATTATTTTGGGTTTGGCTTGTTTGCTGTTTTGTTAGGGTGTTAAAAGCCTGTATTCTTTGTGTTATGTTTTTCTGCAGTGGTTTGTCATCATTGACCCATACTGGAGAACAAGCTGAAATAAACAAATTAATTAGTTTGAGCCACAGAGTATGTGTTTACACTCTTCTCTTGGACCTGCTGGCAAGCAGAAGAGGACAGCTCGTCTGTTCTAGTTTGCTGCTTCCACACCAATGCACGGGATGCTAGTTATCAGGCTCCTGCTAGAAGTCCTGATAGCTCTGAATGCAGCGTACTTAGAGGCTGTAATTATTGTGTGCTAGAACAGAACAGAAGAGTAGGAGGGTAGCATGCATGGAGGGAGAAGAGCCAGTCTGTTTATTGTCGGAGCTTGGATGCCATCATTTATTTGGAGGGCAGCGTCACTGGGGATTTCAGAACCTGATCTTGAACCTCTCTGCTTCTAATATGTGGATAATACAGCACAGGCTTATGTTCTTCTTTCCGCAGCCCACAGATGATATCGTCCTCATGGCCCAAGCCCTGGAGAAGATATTTCTGCAGAAGGTGGCCCAGATGCCTCAGGAGGAAGTAGAATTATTACCCCCAGTTCCTAAAGGCAAAGGTCGCAAGCCGTCAGTGGGCACACAGAGTGCAGGTATTAAGCTGATCCAGTGACAGTGAATGTTATGAGCCTGCTGCTGAGGCCTGACCCACCTTTCAGGCAGCCTGGCTTTGCAAACGGTGAAGAGGCTGGGAAGGGAGCATGTAGTCAGAACGATTAAAGAACTGGAGGAAAGCTAGATAAAGTTCCTCCAGTGTTTCAGGGCTTGTCCGGCTTAAGGCCACTCTGCGTTTGTCACACAAGCATCATACCATTGTGACCTACCCATCCATGCAGCACTTCGAGGGAGGGCACTGCTGTCACTTCCTGTACACAGAGAAGAAACCAAGGCAAGGAGATGCAAGGTCGCTAGACATGCCAGTTTGCTGCAAGTGGCAGACGGTGGGTGGAATGCCTTTACAGACCCGAGTTAATGCTCGCCCGAGGTCCTGGCAGAAGTCTGACACAGCAGAGACTTGGTCTTAACTCTTGTCAGTCTCCTAAACTCCATACAACATTGTTTTTCTGCACACACGGTTGTAACATGATAGAATAAAGTTTGATCAGCAGAAAGGATTTACTAAGCCCTTGCAAAAGGCTGTATAGACCATTGCGTATCAGTAGAAAGTGAGTTTAGTTCAGCTTACCTAGAGTTGATCCTAAACGGAATTAAAACATCTGTAAGCATGGTAAAGACCAGTTCCTAAAGGAACTTGTGTGGGCTGAATTAAAGTGTTGCAAGTCTCTTTCCTGTAAACAAGATCTCATTGTTGCTCTAGGAAAGTCAACTGTTCCTCTTTGTTTTCCCACAGCTCAGGTACCAAATGGAGCTGCAGCTCCAAGCTCAGAGAAATTTGTGATGTGTCATTTCAGCATCCTTTTGATAAAAGCTGCTATAAAAACATAGAGGAATATTACTGCTTTGGCTATTAGTTACTAGAGCTGTCACCCTTAACTTTACACTAGTAGGCAGTTCTTTAACAGTGCACGTCTGGCGTGAGACATTTGCCTGGATATCAGGAGACTTAGGCTCTGCTCCCAGCTCTGTTTCTCTGTATGACTTGGCCAATCTGAAATGCTTTGGACTCCCCACATTGCCTCTCCTTGAGCTCCTGCTCTTTCACTGCGTGCAAGGCAGCTCTGAGAGCACAAGAGGGGTAAACACAGAGCCCATGTGCAAATCTTGAAGGATTTTGCTTGCATATGGCTAGCCTAAAGCTCATGGTATGAGGACTTAGGTCAGTGATTTCTCATTTTTGTGTTAACCCCTGGGTAACAGCTCCAAGCAAATCACGCAGTGTCCTTTGTGCCCTTCCTGTGACCCTGGACTGAGAGCCTTTTGCCAAGCCCATGGTGGCACAGTCCAGCAGCACCAGTGTCACTTTGTTCCCAGTGTCCTGTTGGCACTTGTAACCATCAGTACATCACCGTGTGTTTTCACTTTGTTGTTTGAAAGGAACGCAGCAAGCCGTGGCCGTGTCTTCCGTCTCCCCGCCGGCCCCTTTCCAGAACGTTCCTCCAGCGGTGTCACAGACGCCCGTCATTGCTGCCACGCCTGTGCCAACCATCACTGCTAACGTCCCGCCTGTCACTGCTCCTCCTGCCGCTGCACCCCCTCCGCCTGCTGCTCCGATCATGCCTGTGGTGCCTCCTACACCACCGGTAGTCAAGGTAAATGGAGACCTCCTCCCCTTCCTCCTCAGAAGGCAATATTGCTAAGCAGTGCGTTATTTTCATCCCCCCACTGCTGCTTACCTACATCCCCTCTCTTTGCGTTTGACTCCTGGCCGTTGCTGTCCCTCTGAGGTGTGCTCAAAGCGCTTCCCGTTGAGTCTGGGTGGGTGGAAAGAAGTTTTGTCACTTCTGCTGCACCCCAGCTGTGGGATGTCCGCTGTAACTGCTCCAGCTCCCATCTGACCATAGCCTCAGCCAGTGCCAATGCTCCGCAAACCAGAGAGCTGTTGGAGGCTTCCCCCATTTTGCACCATATAGCCCAAAGCACCTCTTCCCTCTGTAACTGACCCCCTGATTTCACTGGGACTATTCCTTTAAGGTTTGCAGGCTCTGGCGCTAGGAATGTTCCTCTCTGCCATAAACCAGTTCAAGACAAGCCTGTCACTCCAGTTGGAGGAGACTGATGTTGCCTGCAGGTTTTGGGTGCATTAGTTCTGTCTTCCTTACCGAGTAATCTTCGGGGAGTTGCCACTGGTGTTTTGCTATTTACTATGTTAATTTATGGGTAAATTAAAACGTTGCTCCAAATAATTGGAATTTTCCTAGCAAGCTGTATATTGCTTAAAAAACTGTGAAAGCATAGCTCAGAGAAAGCTGTTTGTTCTAAACTGGGAAATGAACTGCAGCAGTGTTGGTGTTTTCTGATGTGAGGTTGCATGGGCCAGCAGAGCCACGGAATTGTTTTGCTTACTTAACCCTATAGCTTGGGAATTACTAGAGAAATTGTAATTCAGACCTTCTTTCAGCTAAGCTGTCCTCCTCAGAAGCCTGTCTCTTACTTCAGTTTCTATCCAAATAACATGCTTCTGAGAATCAATTTAATTCTAAAACTCACGGATGAACTCCGAAGTGAGTTTACCAAATACACACTACAAAATTAATCCTGCTTGGGATTTACTTAAGATTTCCTTTAGATTTCCCTAAGGAACTTTTTCCTCTTTCTCTCTCTCTCTCTCTCTCTCTTCAGAGAAATAAATCCTTCATAGGAACATGAGAGAGCTGACTGGACAGTCATAGCTTGACTTTATGTGAGAGTTTTTATTTGCTTAAGGCAAAATCATTACGTTCTTGCTCTTGTCCATAATCAGCGATCAAACTTAGCACACCCCTGAATGCAAGGGAGTGAGGGCTCATGGGTCTTTGGTGATTAATATGCTTTGGTTCAGAACTTAGAGCCTGATCCTGCCACTGGGGACTCAGACATGTGGTTAAGTTACTGACACTTACTAAGTCACGATGCATCAGCTGAGCTGCAGTAATCGACTGGGCGCACTCCTTTCCCTTGGCAAACATGAGGTAAGAGTCCTTAGTTTAAATCTCAGTGAAATGCATAGAGCTAACGGATTTTGGCATCGTGTTTGGGGCTGGGTTGGAGATGTGCAAATGGCTGGTTACTGTGGCTCAGGTGACATGTAGTAATACATCGTGCTGTAGTCACTGCATTGTGTGTTGAAGCCTCTAGTCACAAGTCCCATTTATCCCAGTGAAGTAATTGTATTTTCTGGCAGGGGGCAGGCAGAGCTCAAAAATAAGGATGAATTGTGCTAGGTTTCTGCTAGCATAGCACGAGAGCTGGGCACGCGCTCATGAAGCCTGTCCATCTGCTGTTTCAGAAAAAGGGAGTGAAGCGGAAAGCAGACACGACAACCCCCACCACCTCCGCGATCACTGCCAGCCGAAGCGAGTCACCCACGCCCCTCTCGGACCCCAAGCAGGCCAAAATCATCGCCCGACGGGAGAGCGGCGGCCGGCCCATCAAGCCACCAAAGAAAGACCTGGAAGACGGGGAGGTCCCCCAGCATGCAGGGAAGAAGGGCAAACTCTCTGAGCACCTCAAGTACTGTGACAGCATTCTCAAGGAGATGCTCTCGAAGAAGCATGCAGCCTATGCATGGCCCTTTTACAAGCCTGTTGATGCAGAGGCCTTGGAATTACATGACTATCACGATATTATCAAACACCCCATGGATCTCAGTACTGTTAAAGTACGTCCACATTTACCACCTCTTTTGCAGGGTGTCACAGCCCTCTGGTCGCAGAGGACTGGCTCCTTCTGGGGGAGGGGGAAGGGACAAGGGTGGAAAACAGAACCTGTTTGGATATCATCTGGATATTTTTATATTTTGTTTCCTTACCCTCTCCTTTTTTTTCCCCGTAACCTGGGACATCTTTTCTTCTGCCCTGCAAAGCAGACTGTACAATGGCATCCTCTCCTTGCGGATAGTCCAGCTATTTAAACCTGTGTCCTTGGGATTGTGTTGCACTCTGAGAAGAAGAGGTGCTGTATTTCATAGGATTCAATTGATAGTATCCCATTTCCAGAAACTGCTGCCTGCCTACTTGTTGGCATGATGAGTGGTCCAGATAGGCTTAACGCTGAGCAATTCCAACCGGAACGTGATGATCATCTGGTACTCGGGGAGGGGAGAAAACTCCATGATGTTTGTGCAGTTCATGTTTGGCTCTTCAAGAGCTTAGCTTAGTATGGTTCAATATTAAAGTGGTTTTCCCAGTAGACTGGGGGGTTTCTCGGAGTCCCTCCTAAATATCCGTGGAGCAAAGCTGTGGTTTTTTTCTAGTTCTCATCTTCCACTTGTCAGCCGGCCGTTGGAATCAGTGTTGGTGGAGGTGAGACATTCTTCCCTGTGCAGGAGGTTAAGGTATTTCTGCTGGCTTGCGTTAGCATCCCAGAAGCGTTTTGCTGGTCCCTGAGCCAGGGTTGTCTGAATGCCCAGGTGACAAGAGGGCAGCTGTGTTTGTGATTCCTTTCATGTTCCTTGGCAAATCCTACATAGTACCCCGAAGCAGCATGCCGTGCTCTGATGTGTCATGCCATTCAGCCGTGATGCTGCAAAGGTCCTTACTACAGCTGCAACATTTTAATGAGTAGTGGTGAGAGAATAGCTGGCATGGTCTGTGCATTGAGGATTAGACGAGGAGTTCCCAGTGTCTGAGTGTTAATTGCTGGTTTGATGCTGGGGTGGGCAAGTTTCCGTGCAGCTCTGTGCCATAGTTTTCCCAAACATAAAATGCAGATAATGATGTTTAACCTACCTCACAGGGCTGTTGTGAGGACAGATATCTGGGAAGGCACTATCTAAGTACTAATTATTATTATTGATTTGGTTTGTACAGAAAAGACTGTCTCGTGAGTTGGCAAAAGCACTGGAAGCGGGCTCTGGTGGAGCTAGGCTTGGAGACTATTCTTCTGCTGAGCTTGCAGTGCCCTTTCTTTGTTTACACAAGTGCAATATTTTTGACCTGCAGTTAAGCTGAGCTGTATAATGGCCTACAGCAGTTTTCTGGGAGGAGAGGAGGGCAATACGAAAGGTGAGTTGAGCTGCAGGCAAGAAAAGGGAGCCTGAAGTAGAGTGGTAAAAGCAGGAGAAATGGCTAGGTTGACCACGGTGGTCTGCATGGCTGGCTACCTGACTCTCACATTCTGCTGATAGAGGAAGGTTACAGTGTTTTCTTGCATAAGTTTCCATTTTCTCTTGCTCTTGAGCATGGATGAGGAAGGAAGAAGCTCCCCTCAGTTTTTGGGACTGCAGTGCATTCACCGTCCTGCTGATTTTGCCTACGCAGTGCAAGCGCCTACGTAATCCTTGTACGTTGTTTTAACTATGACTTGCTGTGAAGGTCTGCTCGCTTCGCTTTGCAGTAGAGTTCTCTTCACCAGCCTGGAGGTCCATCCGTATGGCTTGGATCTTTGGCTACTGTGTAATTCAGGCTGGTCACTTCGGTTCTGTAGTGTGCTGGTGTTTGGTCAGGAAAGAGTTAATTCTTCCCACAGTTGTGGGTATGAAGCTCTGGTTTTGGATATACCCTGAGTAAAGTACTGATAAGGCGTCTTTTTTAGCTGGTGCTGGGGAGTGTTTGCACCAAATTCAAGGTCTTTCTCAGCTTCTGATACTGCAGCTGTGTTCCTAACTTTCTCGCTACAGGCGGTGTGGGGGGGACACAGTTCAGACAGCTGACCCAAACTGACCGAAGGAGGATTTCGTTCCGTAGCACGGCAGGCTCGGTACATAAACAGGGAGT